AGGGCAGCAAGAGTGAGAAAGGTGATTTGGTCCATTGTTTTTCCCACTGAGCTTCTTTACAGTCACTGACCAATATCTGTTTATTTTCTGGTAGGAGAAAAATGGCAACTGTTGTGGAGGAAAGACTAGAGTGAGTTACATGTGTCTGTGAAACTTTTAAATTTCTTTGGTGAGCAAAGGAATTCTAGTGAGAGAACTTGCCTTTCAGCTCAAAAAAAAATTCATGTAGGAAACCATGGAAATTAGAAGGCATGATAATCTGCATATTGTGTTTTAGTTCTGTACTTTTGCTACTAAGGTGTTTGCAAGATGCTGCCCACCAATCCCTTTGATACACTAATGCTATTCAGTCAGCTACCACCCAGAGCTCTCTGTGGGTACTGGACTGTGCAAGGGAGTTTCCCCTTGAAGTCAAAGAGAGTAATTGCATGCCTACTGGTGGCAAGATTTGTGTTACTCAACTGGACAGCCTAGATGCAGCTGCTGCAGTAAATCTTGCAGTCTTGCAGTTCATGTATTAGCTGACACCCCACAAGCACTACAGGCAGTGCCCTGGTGGGAATATTTCTTTGCCCTGTTCATTTGTAGCTGATGCCCAAGTACTGTGGAGGGTCCCCCTGAACTAGTAAGTGTACAGAAAGAAGGGAATCCTTTCTTTAAGTTAAAGTGCTTAAATTAAATCAAGGTAATTGCTTGTAATAGAAAAATCCATGTACATTGATAGTTCTTCCCACTCAAGTATCCTTTTCTGTAGGTCTGCTGAGCAGCTTGAGATGGGTCCCAGCGGTTGGAAAATGGAAAACCTTCAATTTTCACGTAAATGACAGGTCAAATCTGTGTAGTGCATCACCTCCCTTTACAGTAGATCACATGTAAAACTAAGTTACACCCTATTTAAATAACAAAAGAATTCTTGAACTACGTGGTAGCTCTTTCCAGTGGTAGCTGAATAAAAGAAAAAAAATCTAATAAATAATTAGGGTGGTAATATGTTTGACCATTATTTCTTTAGTCTGACTTTTTTCTGTTACCATTGTAACAGAAATGATCCTTTCAAACACAACTAAAGCGCTAATGATAGCTAAGGAGGTCATTCCTAGGAGGTTAAACTGGTTTAATTAGAATTTATGAGAAGGTTACTATAAGAGTGCAGAAAGATGTTAAGGGGTTAACCTATAAGAGATTACATTGTAGTCAGTGTTCTGTTAAAGTTTGAATTAATTTTTCCCATGGGTTTTTCACATTCTAATTTTCAACTAAATGAGACATCTGTTTCAGAAAAGGAAAATTTGCTATGGTTGTCATAGCAACTATCATTCTGTAAGAAAATTATTCCAATGGTTACTTTAGAACAGAAAGATAGAAATTCAGTACATAAAGCAACATCCGATTGCTAGCACGAACTCTGATAATTCAACCCTTTTTGTATGGTAGATTATTTGACCTGCAAAACTTGTTCATATGTTTTTAACATAAGGTTAATTGTGCTGTAAACAAATTCACTTCCGATATATTTTCCCCCTAGAGTCTTATATGTAGACAATCATTATTCTTAGCAAAATAATAACACCATTGAATTTTAGTAGTGTGTGGAGACACTCACACTGTTTGCTTTAAGAAGGTAAGACCTAAATCAAAGTACATTTCTACACAAGTGCTTCACTTCAGGGGTGAAATATATTAATGATGTATGTCTTTAATTGCCAAATAAATTTTTCTTGGCTTTTTTTTTAGAATTGTGGATTTTCTCGTATGGAACATACATGAAAATATATTTTTTTTGTTGAATGTAAAATATTATTGCAAAATAAATGATAAAAAAATTACACTTTTCCTGAGTAAGCACTAAGTGGGAATACAGAAATTTGGTGCTTGATATGAAGAATTTAACTTTGCTTTCAGGTTCCATCATAAATGGAAATTTTAGACAAAGTTGTCTTTGCGTATTATCCAGGTCACAGACTCGTTAGTGGGTATTAGAGAAGATTTTTTTTTCCCCTACTCAGAAACTTTGATGGCTGTTTTGCAATAAATTTTCAGAAGAAGGGACTTGGGGATTTATAAAATCCCTGTGTGCTTATAAAGATGGTTTTGCTTTGGGGGTGGGGGCACTGAAGTGTATGATTTGTCTTTCTTCTCTCATGTAAAGCATGCCAACATCCTCCGCTGAATCCTTTCTTGGACTTCGGATATTTTTTGCCAGAAATATTCCAGACATTTCTTTCCATCTCAGGATTGTCACAAAAGACAGCATAATGGCAAATCACACAAGTTGTAACATCTCCCCTTCACAAAAGAACAGCTCCAGCATGCATAACTTACCAGCCCTGCGCTCGGCGGCTACGCTGCAGTCACCACAAAGGGAGCGAGGGAGGGAGGGACGGGGGAAAGTGCTTCTTGTCTTAATAAGCAGATCATGCCTATTCATAAGGGGAAATGGGTTTTTTAGAAAGTGGCCGTGTACAGTCTAGCCCTAGTAGAGGCAGGCAAAGACTCTCACAGCTGCATATGCCATTTGTGGTCATTT